AGTCACTGCCTTCATGGCATACTCTTTGTCATTACTTATTTGTTTTGATTTTCCTGCATTAGCATTTGCATTTGCATGTTTGCATGGATAGCGAGCCAGGTTCGTTAGGAGAGTGATCCTGTGTTGGTCGCGATGCCTTAACGAGCATTGCTTGCTGGGTTGATCCCAGTGAGCAATGCGAGTTAAGTCATCGGGATTAGCACGAGTATGACTGTGCTAAATATCTAAAAGATCTAACTCGTGTCATCATTCTTCGTGACACCCTTTAGATCCTTTGGATCTTTAGGATGGGGCCGGTATGACGACCCCGTCAAAGTCATATTATACTCAGACTTACCCCTCACTTATATACTACGTTGATGCACTTTTTCGTTAGATGGTGTGCTAGGCTAGGATTTAGGGTGCTATATAGTCGTTTTGATGCCTGGCTATTGTTCTCTGTTGGATTGGTTGCCCTAGCTAGGTATCTTTCTTTTATCTTTCTTTTCTTTTGCATTATGCTTGTGGTGTGTCTGCATGTTGCATATGTGGGTAGTATGTTAGGGCATTCTTCTGCATGGAGCCATGCCTATTTTCATATACACACAGGTACCGTTATGGGGGAGAGCAAGTAATGATTTCTGACCCTTATTGCTTGCAGGTGTTGTTAGCTTCCCCCACTTTTAAGGCATGGCTCATGATACGTTATTTGCATGTGAGCTTTCTTGCTAAACACTTGTTTTCATGCAGGAATGAGTCTTTTATTTTTCTATGTACTTTTTAGAGTGTAGGAGAGTCCTGTAACAGAAATAAAATACGGGCACGGGTTCCGAGAAATTTAGCACGGGAACCACGTGGAGGGGACCAGGAGCAGACGCTCGTGCCCCGTATCTTAATTCTGCATTTTTATATTGATGTATAGAATTAGGACCGGATATGTATATGCGGAGTCCGGCCGCCCTTTTTCTTTTCTAGGATATGTTGCCGACCCAGCGGCACCGGCCTGTTTATTATTTTGTAGACTCATTAAGGACACTAAAATTTTAAATTTTCTTTAAAATCTTACTAATAAAGATTAAGATTAACTCAAATTTAGGATTAAAATATTCAGGAATTTTAAACTTGCACTTTACTTTATTACATAACATTTGGGTTGGTTTTAAAATGGTTTGTAGACATAGTTATATACCTCATCATACTTAATAGGGCCTCCACGTTTAGGGATAGATACACTGCATCATTCTACATATTCTAATGAGAAGTCCTCATATTTCTTAAACCTGATTGGCCCAACATAAGTTTTATACTTTGGTGGTTGTCTAGCGCACTTAGAGTGTTAAAGGCTTCCCTGACCCGGGGGGGGGTAGGTATAAGTCATTTGTTGGGAGTGTTTACAACTTTGTAGCTGGACCTCTCTTCTCTTCTTTCCAGTGGTCTTCTCGTCATATCAATAGATGTAAGTCCGCCTTTGTGAACTCTACCTTTATATGTCTTAAGATTAGAGTTATATTCTTTTAACCTTAGGGCTAATGAGGTCTCCCTGGACGATGTAATTCACAGATTATTGATAAGGAATCTCAGGTTGTGCTGGGTTTACAATCTTCACAACCAGATAGGCTTAGGGTTTTAATTGCTTGGGATGATGGATCTGTGGTATCCTGACCTGACTATCTCTACATATTTAAGATTACTCTACCCCCCTTTGTTGAGTCCCTTTAAGGCATGTCATCCTTTTGACACCTCGTTGATATCTTCTCATAGACTTGATTGCAGATAGGTTGTCACCCGTTTGTGATGCGGTGATTCACCCGCTACCCGTATGGCCCAGTTTGGCCTTGAAAGCATAGTGTAGACCATATAAGTCAATCTGGTTATTTCATAAACCCCAATCGCTGATCAGCCGCTACTCATTTAGGATGTGAGAGATTCATTTTCTGCTCTATGGTTTAGCGAGAGAGTTGAAAGCATTAGTATGCTCCTGTGAGATAACCATCATTTTGGTGACCAGTTTATCGGTCATGATAATGTATGCAAGATTCCTTTTATTGAGAATATTATTGGGCATCCCCAAGATGTAATTAACCAAAAATTTATGTTCATTTGGGAGTGCTCTAGACTCCAAAACAAAAATGTTCTTTTTGGTTCTCTAGTTACGGATGCTTTATGTAAGCATTCTCTTTGTGCATACCTTGTTTCAAGATATTTCGATCTGATCTTATTCGGACGTATACTATCGACTTGTTGCACGAGAATTTATTATACATAAGCGCTCCATATTTCTTTTTATAATTTGTTTGTTTATTTTCATCATATGTCTTGTCTTATTCGGTTCCTCTCCTCTTCGGATCATTTATATGGTTCGGGAGGGAGAAGGGAGATTTATTAATAGGGGAAGTATACGACGATCGACAAGCTGGCGACTCCTTTTAAAATAAAAAAGAGAAAAATGAACGGAAACATGGTTAAGACACATCTTCCCACTCACCCATACAATCATAGTGAAAACACTCACTGTTCAATCCGATCCTCTAGATTATCGGAAAACTATAGGGCCATTACAATATCTCACCACTGCTCGCCCTAACATCACCTTCACAGTAAATTTTCTCAGCCAACATATGCATACACCTACCACTTTAGATAACACTCAACTCAAACGTTTTTTTTTTTTATTTTTTTTTATTTTTTTTTTCGCTATCTTAAAAGAACAACTAACTATGATTTTCATATTCAGAAAGGCACACTTCTCTTGCAGGCTTATGTAGATGCATACTTTAAAAAGGTATCCACGTGATAGGAAATCCACCACCGAATTCTGCATATATTTATGCCCTAATCTTATATCTTGGTCTACAAAAAAACAAACCACTGTTGCCAAATCCAGCACAGTGGTTTAATATTGCATGATTGTTGCGGTCAATGCAAGAATAATGTGGATACACTGTCTCCTATTCGAACTTACCTCCACCTCTCTTCCTCCAACCACTTTATTCATCAACAGCACCCCTGCCATCGCCATTGCCCATTACCCCGTCGTCTTCCACGCGAGAACAAAGCACATCGAGGTGGACTATCACTTCACTCAAGATCATCAACAACTACAAAACATTACTCTTCATCACGTCATGACAGCTGACCAGCATGTCGACAAGGCTCTTCCCATTGCTCGACACCAACATCTCACGACCAAACCAACAACCTACGCCCTAGATCCTCAGTTTAAAGGGGGTAATAGAGATTGTACCTGAACCGCAACTGCTATCTTGATATTCGCCTCTGGGAAAATCCTTCCATCTCTGCTTTAGCTATACTCGCGTTATAGAGATTTCAGATCCCCCTTTCTTCTGAATATATAATTTAAATTTATTAGTATGAATATTTACTATCATAACATCCATGAATTCTCTTCCTTCTTCAAATTTTCTTTGTGCTAGCGTTAGGAACTGCCCTAACTTTAATTTTAGAGTAGGAAAAATTACCAAATATTTAATTTGTTTTAGGTGTTGCAGAAAAATACATCAAGGAGATAAAATTACTAAATTACCTAAACTTCATTAAAAAAAATATTAAATTTTATTACTAAATTGCCTAACACATGATTCAGCCTCTGGTATGTATGTAAATATTCCAAAAAAAAAAATTAAGGGTTTTAAACACTACATAATTGTAAAGCGAATCCTGCCTCACGATGAAGAGATGAAGAGAATACAACTGGAGAAGGATTCAAAGCATGACCAACCCCAGCCCAAGAATAACACTAGAAGAAAACAGCTAGATTTCCCACACGAAAAAAAAAAAACTGCTAATCACTACAGAAGCAATACATTTAAGAGTAAATAAAATAGGAACTTCGACAAAACTTGCTGCCAGATTCCTCAATATATAAGTTAATACTACTTTTCATACTTCACGTGCTAAAACCAAGAAAATCTGGGCTTCAAGAAACGCCTTTTAAGGCACATGCAGAGTGTCTGGCGACATGGATATCATTTGAAGAAGGCTTGAGTTTGAAAAAGTCACCTCCAGTATAGGCTCTTTCTTGCCACCTTCCTCCACGCCATCATGAGTAATCAGAATAAATTCTTTAGCAACAGTAACCATGGAAACGCTTTCACCCATCCTACTTCCCAAACACTGCATCGCAAAGAGTGCCACTCTTTCAATTTGTTCGCATTGAACCGACGGTTGCTCGCCAAACCTAAGGTAAGGATCCACAATCTCATGAAGCTTTCTGTCCCTAATCTTCAACAACGTGAGCTCTAAAAGATGTTCCTTTCGTGAACCTGTGATGAGCTCCAGCAATATGAGACCGAAGTTGTTGACAATCCGAGCATCATGAGAAACCGCGTATGAACAGGATTCATCGCCATTTGTGGAGCTCAGAAACTTGAAGCTTGCAATTTTGATGGAATACTCTGCATCGATGTATATTTCGCTGGATTTGAGATCATGGAGGTTGACAGGTGGGGAGATCTCGCTTCGAAGGAAAGACAGAGCACTTGCAACTTCGATAGCGATGTTAAGTCTATGGTACCAAGAAAAACCGTTTCCTCTGCGTCGCTGGAGGTGCTCCTCCAGAGTTCCATGCGAAAAGAATTCATGCACCAGAAGCAATGAGTGGTTGGAGCTGATGCAGCATCCAATTATTCTGGCAATATTCTTGTGCGAAGCCTGGGAGAGAATCTCTATGATCTCCCAAACCTGCTTGAGATTCTGCTCGTTTTCGCAGTTCACTTTGTGCACGGCGACAAGAGATCCATCATCGATAACACCGATGTGGATGGTCCCATCAACAACACTGATGAGCTGCTGTTCATGGTCGAATCCCTTTGTGGCGTCGTTGAGCTCCTGATAGGTGAATAATCGAGTTCTGCAAGCTTTTCCGAGGATTTTAGGGAGGCAGGCTTGGTGAGGATGATCTTTGCTTCTATTAACTGGAACCTTTACGAGGAAACAAATGGCCAATGCACCGGAGACAAATATTGCAGAAATGATGGCCCCTGCCGGCGAAAGGACTCGTGTTAGACAAATTACACGATCTAACAATTATGTTATATGCAAAAGGATATGTTGAAATGTTGAAAATGAGCATGCTTGCATGATGAAAGAAATCTAGTTTCAAAAAAATTATCCAACATACAGAAGCTGCATACCAACAAAAATAGCAACTCTCTTTTTGCAGAACCTTCCTTTACAACAATCACCATTTGCAGAATGGCCCTCATCACTACAAGCTGTAAACATGCCTCGTTCAAAACAGTTCATCAGTCGGGGAGATTAGCGTAAAGAGTCATTATTGATTTACAATTGTGAAAAAATAAGCTTATATGTGCCAAGACTTTTAGGCTCAATCTAGGATTTAGTAGAACCTAGAGTTTTAAGAGATTTAAACTCCTCCATTAAATCTTAAATTTTAAAAAGTATATGTCAAAGAGATTAAACACAATTAAACATTTATCATCTCAAACAAATTTCAGGATTTAACGGCTAAAGGATCTACTAAATTCAGGATTTAACGCCTATAGGATTTACTAAATCCTGATTATCAAGCTTCATTAAATCCTGCTTGTAGCCAGGCAGTGCCCTCAGGCAACTAAAATCCAAAATAAAGATTTTCACTGTGCCAAAGAAAAAGAAGAAGCAAAAAAGACTCACCTTTGAAACAGCCGATTCCCCGTGCAAAACCATCACCAACAAGCCCAGGCCCGCAAGAACACCTATACCCTTTCTTTACCACAGTTGCGTTCACCATCACCGCCCCATTGGCACAAGCCACATCCTCCACCAATCTCATCGGCACGGCCCATTCAACCTCAATCCCTCTCCTCGCACGCCCAACCAATCCCCTCTTCTCAACCCAGCTCGAAAACCCTCGACACCCATACTCACCAAATACCCCAATTCCCTCACCCGCCTTCCACACGCTCCCATCCGAAAGCGGATAACAGCATCCCCCCTCGCACCCTCCCACCCTTTCACACCCAGACCGACACACGGACGAATCATCGCAGGCATAGAGGCGAAGCACGTTGTCTGTTGTGACGGCCACAAAGGGGCTTCGATTGAGGACCGCGGCGGAGACTTTCAGATCTGCGTACCAGCGATCGCAAGGGGATGAGTTGGAGTTGGAATTGGACCTCGACTTGGACGAGTAGTCGAGGAGGATGGAGCTGGAGGTAAGGAAGGCGATGATACGTAGTTCGGTGGGGCCGAGGGTTAGGTAAAGGGAGGAGTTGCGGGTGCAGGTGAGGCGGAAGGCGTCGATTTGGGGACCGCAGGATGAGTTGAGGTAGAAAGGGTAAGGAAGGGAGAGATCGCCGCAGAGCTCATTGCAGGGGTTGGTGAATAGAGATTCTTTGGAGGCGGCGGAGCCGGCGACGACGAGAAAGAGGAGGAGGGAGGTGGAGGTGGAGATGTGATCCATGGATGGAAGAGGCCATGTGAGGAGTCGAATGGAGGGGGTTTTGAGAGAGGAGAGGCGAAGTGTACGAACTTCGGGAGGAGGAGAGTTGGCGTCCGGAGAGGGGAGAAGAGGCGTTGGGAGGAGGGGAGGGGGAACGGGTTTCGGGGACGAAGCCTGGGTGTGCGGGAGCGAGGCGGGGGCATGTCGGACGGGGGAGTTTTGGTATTTATTTTATTTTTTCGGAATTTGGAGGAGGGATTGAGGTCTTCAAGACGACGACGACGACCTGGCTAATCGTTCTTAATTAAATTAATTAATACGGATCATTAATAAAACTCTCGGAATAGCTCTCCACTTTGAATGAAAATTCTTTTGAGGGAATCTGCCTAGGATTTGGCTAATCATACAGCGTACTGATTTAGCAATTTAATTTTTTATATTTTTTCACTTTTTTCAATTTTTTAAGATTAAGGGTCCGTTTGAGACAGCTTATTTAGTATGGTAGTGTTTTGAAAACACATCTGATCTGTTTGGGTAAACTGCATTTTGACAGCTTGTGCGTTTTCAAAACATTGAAAATAACATTTTCATACCGTAGGTTTCTAGGTGCGGTGGCAGCTTTTTGGCTGCAGTTTAGTTTTTTCATAAAAATAAAAATTTGTAATAGCTACTCAACCTAGCTTATCAGCAGATTATTTTTAATCAGCTTATCAGTAGATTATTCAATAAGCTAAAGCTGCCACAAACAGACCCTAAAGTAGATCTAACAAGTTTTCATGATTTGATGGGCATGTTAAAAACTCCTCAAATCTATATATATTTGAGGAGAAAGTATCATTGAATAATCTATACACAAAATTCTTCAATGTGGTGGCAAATATTCTAGTACATTTGATTGTTTATTTATGATAGTATAAAGAGAAGACATTCCCGACCAATCATGAAGAGAGAAATATTGTATAAAAGTTTTAATATGAAGTGATGGAGTAGGAATGTTATTAATAGTTATGCTTATATACTTGTGATAATTAAGATAAAATATAGGGAAAAAAATAGGTTTTTGAAAGCAATGTTTGTTATTATTGAAATAGCAATTAATGTTTGTTGAAGATCCTTGAATCAAGCTTCTAGTTATTCTCGAGTAACAAATGTATTATCATTGCAAGTCTATCAAACAAGATGCTTAGAAAGAACATACATATTTGAATTTAAGATTCATATTGAATGTCTTCACTTATTGTGGTTCTTTTTGGCCTCTAGAGATAAAATTTTGTTTCTTACATATGATAACAAAAAATGTGAATAGCAAATTTTTGCTCTTTCTTGATATGAGAGAAATTCACTTGTGTGGTTTGGAGATGATATGAGCTTAAGTAAGAATAATGCCTAAGCTACTCTACGAGGAGAAAAAACATAAAAATAATTAGGAATATATGAATGAAATTCAAATGGGTCGAACATTTGACCTAGACCACATTGTTACGAATTGAGAAAGTAAGCACATCATGAGAAGAAAAGATATAAAGAATACAATGAAGGCTTACAAAGAATGCTAGGATGGGGTGAATGTTTAATATAATTATGGCTAGCCTTTCTCTCTCAAAAGATGATTATGGTACATACAATGGTGTTTGCTTTGAAAGATGAATTGAGGTTTCATTAAATGTTAGAATTGATCTAGTATCAACTGTCATAGTTGAGAAATCATTTGAATTAATCTATATTATAAAAAGCTCTTTTAAGTCATCAATTACATGTAACTTCTTTCTTCAACAAATTTTTAACTAAAATCTCTATTTTAAACACCATTTAAAGTTTATGTTTAGGATTCATTCGAGAACATTTACAAAGATATGCATTATCTTGAGCGGCTTCTATGTTTTCTAGAAAACTCTAGAGAGATAAATAAAGAAGGCATTTACACTAATTTTTTAGAGTGAATTTGTGTAAAAAATTTGAAGTTTTGACATTAATTCTTTCTAAATGATATCTTGATTTGGCACAGTAAAATTGGGATGCCTTCTAAAATTTTGGGAGTTTTAAGGATTATACAAACTATCAATCAATGCTTGAGTCTTCTCAGTATGATGCCTACCAACAACCGACCTAATGTGTTCACACTTTGTCCATACCATCAAAATCACAACTGATTCAGTGGCTCATCATTGATAAAATTTTGATGATACATATAGACCTAACACAACGATTTTCAACAATCACATTCAAAATTTGTTATTCACTCGCATACATTGTTTGTCTTTCTAATCAATTGAGTTTTCTTTATGTTAAAAAGTTGTTTGTCTCCCAACTTCTAGCATTTTCAATAGACTATCGTTTGATGCTACCCATGATTGGTATGTGATTCTGAGTCGTCGACGTCAAACACTCATCTTACTGTTAATCCAGCCTTCCCTTCTGCCAGAACAATGACCAAGATGACCAATTACTATTGCCTAACTTCCAATGCTCACCATCATTTGAAGTTTGATATCTATCAATAACTGACGTTCAGCACACAATCTCCAACTAATTCAGCAATCATCTAATGCCCAATAATAATGACATATCAAGAACACTGCTATGCTCACAAAAAACATCTCGAGTTGTTGACATCAACTACAATTTATTCATATTTATTTCTAGTTATGTTCAGAAAGCATCTCTTTATAATCTTTGATAAACAGTAATACTTGAGTATCAATCAAGCTAGACCTTATAAAAGGACAAAAATGTTATTGTGTAATGGTAGTGTTTCTGCAACAGTGTAGGCCGCTGTTATTGGCTCCTTGCTCTTCGGGCTATAACCTTCTCATTTTAAAGATCGACGCCTATACCCATTAGCAATCACTGCGGCTTATGAATAATTAGAAAAAAAAAAGGGATAATTTACATACATGACACTCAATTCCTATGTATTTACATACGTAATAGCCAAATTTCAATTTTTAAAAGCATGGCACCTTTATATATGCATAGAAAGGTACGTTCCAGTTATTAAAATTTAAAAATGTAATTTATTTTTTGTGATATGAAAGATTTAACTGATATAAATGTAAAAAATAAAACATAGATATTAGATATGTAAATAGATAAGAATTAAGTGTTATGTATGTAAATGCTCAAGAAAAAATTATATGATGATATATTAGGATGGTATAATGTAAGAAAATAAATTTTCCATGTTAGATATGTAAATATATAGATATTTAATGTGTGTATGTATGTGAAAATTAAAATTTAATTGTTACATGCATTAATAGATATTAATTAAGTGATATGTATAAAAATCTTCCAAATAATAATAATAATAAGACGCTCATTTTTCTGTGACATGACCATCTTCTGACGAAAAAAGTATTACCTCAGGAGTACTGATGCATCAGCACTCTAATGGTGAGGTGCAACGTGACGTCACAGTGAGACCATTGCCCACGTGACACCTCACCATTAGAGTACTGATGCATCAGTACTCATGAGGTAATATTTTTCTCTTCTAACCGTCTGTTTTATCTGCAATTAAATAGACTTAAGAAAGTAAATAACTATAGAAAACTAAACTTTTTTATCACTTCAATCCATGGTAATTCACTGTTTCCTTCGGATGAAAGTCCATATAAAATGGATTAAAAAATATTTTTATAATTGAACAAAGCTGAAAAATTTCTCTAGATTGACTTAATGAATTACAAGTGACATTTGGATAGCCAATGCCATCCATATAATAGATTAAACACCTTTTTTCAGCTGCATTTTATGTAAATAAATATCAAAATGTAGGTATGAGACTTGTTAATATATAAAAATTACGTGGTATGTATGAAAATTTCTTTTAATGACCAAATTATCACATGTTTGCCGAAAATGACAACTGCGTGTATGCTGAATACTCCCATTTTAAGAAAACGTTTATGGAATCCTCTGATTAGAATTTGATGTAGATGTGTTTTAAAATACTCTCATTACCTTGAGAGGAGCTCAATAAAAGAGATGATTAAATATCTTAGGAAGATTTGGAGAAAAAATTGAGCCCAAAAGGTAATATATATGTTTCGAACCCCTGACCTCCGAGTGAAAAACTTAACCTTCAACTATTATACCACGAACAAGTACAGTACTATATACAACTCAATACCCGTGTATTTATATGTCTAACACATAAACTTCAATCTTTACAGATATACCACCTTTTCTATGCATGAAAAGGTGTATCTCATACTTGAAAGTTTAGAAAAGTGATATTTTTTATGTAATATGAAAGATTTGGGTGGTAAAATTCAGGTGTTGGACATGTAAATACATAGAAATTGGATGCTATGTATGCATCTATGCATGTAAATGTCCCATTTATAAACTAATTCTTACCAAAATTTGACTCAAATTTTCTTTTTTAAAACCTGGAAGCTGTTAGCTTTCTTTAAATTTGCAAAACAAATGGATTGCACGAAGAGGGGAAACGGGCATATCTGAAATTACAAAGATTTTCTTGTAATACCTGACTGCCATTAACAATACGAAAGCTTCAATATATTTCTATCAATACAAGAAAGGCGCAGATCACCAATACTGAAAACAGATCCTCCACCATGCTCCTGAACTGTAACCAAACAGGCTCTAAAGTTCTGAGAGCTCATCCCAAAAATACCCCTTTAGCTGCTTCCAATAACATCGCCATAGATGCTCTTTATTTTTGCAATTAAAGCTTCCCTGAGGGCACAATAGCATATATTATTTTTAAGTATAAATTTTCTGAAGTTTAAAAACGGATTTTCTAGAATTAATGTTGTTAATGAGGTGTACCTGTCAGGCTTGAAAACAATGTTGCGGTATGCAAACCACTGAATGAATGACAAAAGTAGATTGAAACGCATTAATTTAGTAGCAAAGAATGGAAGAAGGATAAAGATGGAGTTAGCAAAACATAGAAATAAACAGAAACAATATATAATATATAGCTCTATGATAAGCAGAAAAGGATTTTAAGTGTGCCTTGCATATTGTGATTGGACATCTTTTTGGAAAGTAAATTACAGGAAATAGAAGATATGGATACAAATTACATTTGGTTTAATGTCAAATATCCATATGAATCTGTTTGATTCAATGTTGTTTAGATGTCAATAGCATTAAAATGTCATTATCAATACATATTTGTGTTATCTATCAATATTGAATATGACTTGAGTTGGCTGATTTTTGACAAACATGTAAATGTCAGTGAATAAAGACAAAATGATCATTTAGAAATTTATATTTTACAAACGAAGAAAAATGCTAAAATAAATTATTCTTTGACTTTTTGCAATGAATTTTTTCTAGTCCTAAAGTTTATTAAAATGTAAAATTAGTCCCCAAACTGTTTTATAATAGTTTAAAATCAGTCTACGAACTCCTTTAAATGCAGGATTATTTCTGCTCCTATAAAGGGATTTTGGGGACTAACTTAACACATTTGTAGACTATGAGATTAAAATGATCCGTTATAAATAGTCAAGGGACCATGATGACATTTTTTGTTTTCTTTACAGATGTTAGCAAATCAGATATCTAATAATATGATGTAACATTCACATGTTAGTGCGGCAAAGAGCCCCATGAATTAATTGACCTGTTTGAAGTTCCTGGAGTAAATAAATCATCAGCACACTCATGCTCTCAAAAATTCATTTTCTATGGCACTGCCATCTATGCTAACAGTAATGTTTCTGTAAGAGTCACAGGACTTACTCCAGTGTAGCCAATTCCAACTAGTTCAAATATACTCGGAAGTAGAGGAAGCTTATCAATTGCCTACATAAAATTACAAAAGTTCAAATTTTTCATGTTAAAACAAACTAGAGAATCATAAGGCTTCTTTGGGATCACTTTTATTTTTTTATTTTTGTTTTATTTTTTTCTTTTAATTTTAAAAATGATTAATGTGTTTTTTACAAGTTTATTTTTCTAAAAAAATTAAAATGCTTTCTATAAGGCAATTGTTTTGAGTGTTATAAAATCAAATAGTCAAATATGTTTTATTTCAAATCAAAATATAAAGAAAATAAGATAAGAACAAAAAATAGAAAATTAAAAATAAAAGTGATCCCAAACAGTCCCTTACCCTTAGCTTCTACGACCATGCAATCAATTGAGTACTAATTATACTTACCGAGATCAATCCAGCAGAACCATAAAGAGCAATTAGTGCAAAAAAAGTAAGGGAAGTCACAGCATATTTGTCTTCGAGTTTGTCCCACTGCCTACCAAAAAAAGCCAATTTAATACCATAACTTCTTAAGTCCAAAGAAACAGATATGCACAAATAAAACAGACCGCTTCCTGTATGGTTTTAAATATTTCTGGAAGTTCAGTAGCAACTTCAGATGGTGCTTCTCCTGTAGCCATGACAACAATATTCCCTGCAATTCTACCACCTAAGTTGGCAACAAAATGGGCTTAGAAGGTTGCATTTATTGTGAGGGTGAGAATTGTTTGATAATAGAGAAATGGAATAAAAAACTTTCATTCGGCTCAGACTGCTTATCTACAAAATGGACAACATTTAACGGGCAGTTTACTACTGTTTCATACAGAATTGACAAAACCAATAGATAGAGATACATCACCAACGACAGTGCCTGCCAGGAGTCACTCCTCATCTAGAAGCCTTCTAGGAGTCACTCCTCACATACGCTATTGAGACTAGGCCATCATCTCAATAATTACCATCTATGAAGCATGAACACAGATGAGGACGTGAACAGGACACAATTCGGGGAAACGACATAATTGAAAATAATACGACACAACACGATATGGACACGTTTTTATATTTAAGTGATTATTAATATAAAAATATTTTTTTCATTATTTTCTATTAAAAATATCACAATACAAATTATGCAATAATAAAATTTAACTTCATAAATTTAATTTATATTATAAAACCTTATGCTCATGAAAATTAATTTTTAAAATAAGATATAATATGTTTTGAAAGAATTCAGCAAACTTAAAATCCAACTTATCTACTAAAATTTAAAAATCGTATGAATACAAGGACGGAATTACTAATGCCCGGCTTTGATAAATATTGGTGCACCTTCAATTGCTTGATTCTGATCAATGTTAGAGGGAGCTTTAACATGGCAGTAGATGGGGTGGTTTCGATTATGAGGTATACTTAATGTTATACATATATTTAAAATTTTCTAATTCTCGTGTCTCATTTTCTCGAAATCGTGTTAAGCTAACGTTTGATGCGGTGTTGAGATGTGTCCCGGACGTGTTTTGGCCTAAAAAAATTAAACATATATTTTGTAGTATCAGAGAAGTGTCAGGGCGTGTCGAACAAGTGTCAGTGTTCGATACGTGGCTGACACAGGTATGACACATTTTTAAAAGTGTTGGTGTTACATAGATTACCATCCACCCTCAACAAATAGCCTTCTATAGATTCGAGATATCACAAGCCCACTGACATCTACTTGGTTCATCTCCAAACCACACATTGCACTATAAAATGTCTAGCTATGAGAACAATTGTAAGAGCCCAATCCATACCATGCAAGATATTATCTTTTTCGGCATAAATTATTCTATACCATGATGAACCTCATGACTTGCTCATTTTAGTTTAGTCTTATTGATGCAACATCCTAGTAGGTCAATTGCCTGAGATGAGCATAGATGAGCAAATTTAATTGTATAGCTTTTGAAAAAACTCCTATCTACAACAACAAAGGGTGCCTTCCAAATTCCAGTGCTCTATCTTTAGTGTGAGTTTTGGCTCATTTCTACCCTAGAGTTTGTCATCCTAGAAGCCTGCCACGAGTTGCTCTTTATCTAAGTTATTAACCCTAGTGATCACTCCAAACCCTATTATTCAAATCACCCTCTCCAATTTTAAAATTATCAAAATAATTTCTGATACCTAAACTAGTAGTAAATTCAACGAAAAACACAAAACAAACTTTTATTAATACTGAGTTAGGGTTACAACACGACACAAACTGAAATGAAAAATACACTAACAAACCAAGGCCCGGGTAGGGCCAAAAGTGAAGATCTGAGGGCGGAGTGGCATCAACAATGTGGTGAGGGTAGGGGAAGGGATGGTGGGTGTGAGGTCAGTTAGGAAGGGGTTTGGTGGCCGGTAGGTGGGCTGAACAGCGAGGATGGTTGTAGGGGAAACGGTTGGTAAGTAATCCGGAGGGCTGGAACATTCCTCCTAAGGGCTATAATGAGGCTGCCTGATGTGGAATTGGAGTAGTAAACAACAGCAGGTTGGAGGGGAATAAAGTGCTGAGAGGACGATTGGAAAGGCTGGACAGTAAGGCAGTGGCGAAAAAGGGGCAACAGAACTGCGGGGTGGTATGGGGATCGCCGACGGTTAATGGAAGGGAAGGAGAAGGTGTAGGAGGAGGATAGATGAAGATATATCACCACCGCGAAGTAGGATACAGTTGGAGCACCACCACCTCCTCGGATACAGCCAGAGAACAGAGAGAACAACTCCACAAAAGAAACTGAAAGTAACACACAACAACAAAAACTAACCTAATGCAACAAAGTAGCAATATAAAAAGTTTCCCAAGTAAAACAAGGAAAAAGAATGATAGGAGGGTCGGCAGCAATGCTTCCTTTCCTAAAGTGCCACTCTATTGAGTGAGACACATGAAAGGAAGTAAATCCCGCTTGACTCCTATAGCATCCTAAACCGATCACCTCAAGCAGGGTCTGGATCGGCTCCCCTTGAATCAACTTGCTTATTTCCCGCATCCGTGCAGCAAACTCCTGCATCCGTATCAGTCTCCCGGGGTTGAGAGAGCTTCAATCTCATTCGACAAAGCTTCCGGTTCATTGTCTCTGATCTTGGTGGCACCTAAGTCCCACTTCCGGCTGCATTGTTGACCAAAGCATCAAAGAACTCTGCACCACTTGCGCGCTCAGCTCCCTATCAATCCACTCTGTTGAGACTATGGCCCATGCTTGTACTGTTGGATCCTCCCAAGGTAACCCATGGTCTGGTCTGCCTAATGTGCCATGAGAGTAACCTAAATCTTTACGTCTGTGATGTGAGACCCTCACATCAGCTCTGGCGTAACTGTTCTGGTCTGGAGCTGTTGTCTCAGTCCTCCCATCTTGTGTCGCCACTAGAACTGACCTCACTGACGCTGCTTTGCTGGTAAGGGTTCATGTGATCTCGACTTTGCCGAAAGAAGTAGAATGATGTGTTTCCCCTCCTTAATAAATGAGTATGTATTTTTGAATCAATCGTGTTGAGTCCTCCGGTCAAACTATCATGACCGTCCCAATAGAAGATGGCAGGTATCCATAAAGACCACGTCACACCACACTTGATCCTGTGGCTGACCTTCGATCGAGAAATCTACTCAACATCTTCGGTTGATGCTGATTCAATTCTCCTTCTTCAGCCATGTCAGTATGGTTGTGAGTGCCTCTAAGTTGTGAGTCCCAATTTCTCGACCATATGAGTCGATACCACGTTCTTGCTGCTCCCGCCATCGATGATAAGACTGCATATTTTTTTGTTCACTGTGCAACGGGTGTAGAAAATATTGTAGTGAAGCCACTGCAGATCCCTTGTGTCAACATCGATCCGTAGAACCCGTCAAATTATAAGTGTCTCTCCTTCATCTGGGAAAGATAATGTATCTCACTCTGATACTCAGTTGTCTCCTCCTCGATAACCTCCTCAACGACGCTGACTACTCTGCTCGTGAGACAGCTGAAGGAAATGTTACCGTAGTTGTGGCATCTATAACACTTTTTGGCCGGCACAGTGTTGGAGGAGCTGCCCTTCTACTGCTTCTTCCCACTCTGATGGCCGCAATTTCACCCACCTATCCTCTGGCACATGTTTATACTCGAAGATCCACTCAACAGCCTGTAACCAATCAATAAATTTCTCAAGATCCATGCCTCCTTTAAACTCTGGCAGATTTACCTTGATGTTAAAGTCTCTATGTCCTCCAAATGACATCTCCTCTCTGTGAGTCTCCCTCTGAGGGGGATTCCGATATCCCTCTCCAAGTTTCCTATGATGCTGGATTTTGGAACGCTGTGGCCTATCTTCTTGGTTGCCGAAATTATCCCTATGAAAGGGATTCGAATCCTCATCTCTTTCTCCCTTTCGACTCTCCAGACCTCAGTCTAGGGTAACCTCTTCCTATGTTAACTCTTCAATTTCCGCAAGCCTTTGTGGAAGACAACGAAGCTCTCGCTGCATCTCTTCTCGAGCAAACTCGAGCATATTCCTCCTTGGTGGCATGGCCCGAGTTTGAGTGTTGGGAGGAAAATTATTGGGTGGAACCGAAACAGGGCGTGTGTGATTTATTGCGGGTGTAGAAAAACTATTTAGGCTTGCTGATTTTGAAAATCAACAAAGGAGAATTTGGAGTTTGAGCTATGGTTTGGGAATGGTAAAGAAAATTTTGATAGAGGGAAAGGTGGATGCTAGGATACCCTAGGATAAAACTAAGGTTAGTCTAGCACTGATACCAACTGATATCGAAACTAGAAGAAAATTCAACGGAAAATGCAAAATAAACTTTTATTAATACTGAGAAAGCGTAACAGCATGATGCAAATATAAATGGAAAATACACTAACAAGCCAAGGTCTGGCTAGGGTCGGAAGTGAAGATCCGAGGGTGAAGTGGCATCGGCAATGTGGTAAGGGTAGGGGAAAGGATGGTGGTTGCGAGGTTGGTTAGAAAGGGATTTGGTGGTCAATAGGTGGGCAAGATAACGAGGGTGGATGAAAGAAAAGGGTTGTCGGGGGCTAGTAACCGCCCTCCTAAGGGTTATAATGGGGTGTTGACCTCAATTTTTTCGTGAGGTCTAGTCTTCCGTTTAGGGTTTAGGATCTAGCCTTAGGAATCTCCCTTCGACTATCTTAGAACCTTAGAAGTGGGACCCGCCTCGTTTTAGTTCGACCCGCTTCCGTCCCATTCTGGAGTTTCGCGTGCGTGGTATCAACTTCTAGCTCTTAGAAGGACGAAACCAACACGAGGAAACCCAAAAGGGATTCCCTATAGGACTTTCCTGAGCCTTAGGGTGGCCTTTTGCACAATTCGCACTCCCGCGCGCACAAGCTTCGCAATTCGGAGGGTCGATACGTCC